GCCTGCGTAGGCACTTCCCCACCCTGTGCCACTAATACTGCCTAGCTTTGACCCAGCCCCCTCCAGCGGTTAACCTTCAGACTCCTTTCCTCTACTTCCCCGCCCACCTGGTCGCAGTGCTTCAAATTCAAGTCCTCAGCTCCTCCTTTCCTCCCACAAGATTCCCTTTTCAAAGGCTAACCCTCATCTTACCCTGTGCCTCCAGTCACCTCCCCCACTCCCAGGCACATATATGCACCTGTATTGGTCACTCAACACACTGTCCCCTGGTCCCTTGTAGCTTCTGAGAATGGGGTCTGCCACCCCCACCGGGTGGGGAAGCTTTAGAATTCTTCAAAAAGGCCAGCTTTCTGTGAGGATCTATTTTCTCTAATTCGGCTACCTACTTGGAAGGGCCAGTGCCACCTTTTGAGTTAGACTACACCTTATCCTAGCAGGCTGCACTGTCCTCAGGAGGGCAGAAGCAGGATTCCAGTCTGCAGTGGGGGGTGTTGGAGCTGTTGATTAGCCCACCCCACACCCTCTGCTGTGATGGGAGGTGGAGTCACCCGCAGGGGTGCTGGGGTACCTGTTCCACCTTCCCTTGCCTCTGTGCTAGGTCCTGTGTTATTTCAGTTCAGTCACCCCACCCTGAGGCTAGTGTCCAGAACAGCGCTTTCAGAGTGATGCTGAGACCCTTTCATAGGACCATGAGAGAAAATTGTTGACTACAGTAACATTACCTACCTTATCTTTGCTCTTCATAAAGAGTTTGGTGGAAAATTCCAGAGGCCATGGGTAATTGATGGCCTCACTTCTCTGGACAGCTACTGGAATGTGTGTTTAGGTTTTATTTTGTGTTGTGTCTTTTCAAATACAATTCCTATCAGGGGCTGTTAAGAGCTCCCAAGTGTGGAATATTATGTCCGACCATCTATCCATCCGTCCGTCCCTCCCTCCCTCCCTCCCTCCCTCCCTCCCTCCCTCCCTCCCTCCCTTGTTCATACTAGTTCCTGCCAATCTCCTCAGCAGACTTAAGATATTACCACTGCAGGTGAGCATCCAGCCTGAGCTCTTGTAATTTCTGTCCACAGACTTAATTTGGGGAGGAGGGGCTGATGCAGGAATAGAGAGCAGGTGGGAGGCCATCAACTCTGGGGTGAGGACTATGTCCTGAGGGCCCTGTCCTGAGCATGTACTCAGTGAGGTGGGAAAGACCTTCCTACCTTCCTCTGTGTAAGACTCTTCAGATGCTGCCCTTACCTGAAGCCCTGACATTACTAGGCCATCTGTAACCATCTCACAGGCCTCCAGAGACGCAAGCAGAAAGATCCCAAGGACAAGGATCCAGGGTGATTAGGAAATAGTTGAATCTGAGTTCAGTGGATTCTGACTCCACCCTGAACCCAACTCCCATCCCCACCCCAGTTTAAGTTGGGGATAGCAAATAGACATTTGGAACATGCCAGGCCTGGTGCCAGAGCGTGTTGTGTACGGCATCACCATGTGGGCCCTTCTGTGAGAGCATATTCACTTCCTGTAGCTGCTGTAGCATACGACCACAAAGTGGATAGCTAAAAGCAGCCGAAATTTACCTTTCAGACTTCCTGAATGAAACCAGAAATCTAAGAGCAAGACTCCGGCTGGCAGGCGTGGTTCTTTTTGGAGGCTCTAAGGGAGAATCCATTTTCCTGCTCCTCTCTCCTCATTTCCAGTGCTGGAGCTGGCAACTCAGAGCTCATAGAGTGTTCCAGTATCTTATCACCGTGTCCCCTTCACTAAACTTCCCTCTTGGAACTTGTAGTTTCATCTCAAGATTTTTACCCTAATTTATATCTACAAAGAGTTGTTTTTGTTTTTTCCTCCTTCAAAATTAGGCCACCTCACAGGTTAGGGGTGGGTTAGGGGTTTGGCTCTATTTTTTCATCTCTCATCCTGCTGCAAGCAGTTGTCTGGTGTCATATCATCCGCATAACGGAGACTGGGTCTGACCTGATGGATGTAATGCCACACCGTGCCAAGGCGCTAATGATTGATAGGCCTTGTTAATGTCCGAGGATGAAATCAGCATGTGACATCTTCCGATCTTTTGTTTTTTTTTTTTTTGGTTTTTCAACCGATCTTTTGTTGACAAGACCCCCCACCCACCCACCCCCAACTAGTTAGCAGTGTATTCAACATTACCATTTTTTGACTGTGGTTGGGTTAAATATTTTTTAAATTGTATTTAAGCATCCTTTTTTTTTTTTTTTAATTAGGATATGGTGATACACATGAACGGCATAACACGTGCAACAGTCAGGAGATAAATTTTTTTTTTTTTTTTTTTTT